GTCGTGTAAATGTTTAATGGAAGGGGCGGAAAGTCGTGTTCCAAGTTCCCTACTTCCACAAGGAATTCATTGAATGATAGTCCAGCCTCAAGTGGTATTTCTTACTGGACAAATAGGGGCTAGGCTATTTGTTTCTCTCGTGTAGGAGACAGTGACCCATGCCCACATGCTTCCAAACTCGAGTGAAATATCAGTACTCTAGGGTAGTAGAATCACCTAAGATATTGATAATATTTTCCTCTGTATATCACATATTGTTCAATACACCGGATTATTGCCATATGCAACCAAAATACAATGGTCTCCGGTAAGCAAATCACTCGTAAAGGTGACGTCTACCAAGGCCATTCCCTTACAGATTTGCCAATAGCTCTATCATAAATGCACGTCGTAATGATTGATAATACACCGATATCTACGGAGCATGATGCCGAATAGCAATCGCCTTTTAAGCACTGTGCTCGACACCAAAAAGGATGGCCAACTACAGTACGAATTCCACTAGCGGAAAGGCCGGCCGGAGCGGCAAATTTCTCCGCGCCGACTAACACCGAGCTCGCAGCGTCAAATGCCTTGCATCATCGGATACTTCTAAGCCGTCGCGAATCTACAATCTAGTCGATTTCCCCAACCTACAACATACACCAAATGTCTGTCGTTGGTACACTCAGAGGCGACATGCCGCAACAAGTCCGATCGCTCGTGAGTCCTGCCCCTCATTACGGCCGCCGAAATTTGCAGAGATCGCCGTGCACTCTTGATATCGACAATTGCTGATGGGGATTTTAACCAGTACCGCCAATTATTACGGCAAGGCTCGCAGTTCGCTGCGTACAACTTTCGAGAGTATGCGAAGCGACGGACGAGGGATGCTTTCAGGGAGCATCAGGGCGAGCAGGATAGTCGAAAGGTGCAGGAGTTGGTGCAGCATGGGATCAAGGAGCTTCAAAGCTTGAAGGTGCGTGGTAACGATACTATTGGGAGGGGAAAGTGCTGACAGAAATCAGCGCCAAACAGTCATCAGCCAGTTCTACCAGCTCGACCGATTAGTTGTTGAGGGTGGAATCTCGGTAAGTCAGGCCCATTGAGATCACATATCTAGCATACTAACCTCCGTCAGGGCAAGCAGACGGGCAACAATCAAGAGATTTTGAGGCAGAAGGAGCAGGGGTATGTAAAAAGCTGCTATCGCCACCATTCACCACTGACGTTGACGTAGTTACGATTAAACGATTTGACCATAACGATCTCGAAACGACTGGATAAAGGATAAAAGAGACAACTCGTGTGTACAGTAGCATGGTTACGGGGATAAATGTATATGTATCGGATACCACAAAGGTTCAAAGGCGTCAGCGAGCCCCGGGGGTGTCTCGAGGTACTGGAGAATGGGCAATGCGGCTCGCATACTAGATGGCGAATCTCAATTCTGATTCTATTTGGCTCTCAATATTTGGTTTCTGTGTCGAATGCTGTCAGCCTGCATGCATGTCTCCAAGCTTAGTAGCATTGTACAGCTAGAGCCTGGGTCACCCCGTCCACTGAAATTTCCTGCCTTTGAAACTGACGGAGCCAATTGAGTTTATGTCAATTGACAGCCTTTCGTCTCGCGAAGCATAATATATTTGCCGTTAATCTTATTTCATCAGGCTTAGACGGGAGAGACCGTTGGGCTTTCAACTTTCATATAGAGACTTGAACAGTGAGGCCCCTATAGCAGGTCATTATTTCAGAAGTCAAAATCATATGAGGTCCTCTGCCTTAATGGGGCAGTCGCTGCCTTTATCAGATAGTACATATTTGCATGTTTACATCTCTTGATTTATATCTCAATGGCCATCATCTTCAATTCTTTCAACATTGGATTACGTCAGCGGGTCTCACCAATTTCAATTGGCCAACTAACAACCTTCGACAGCCCATCGCGACTCGCGACTCAGCCTTGTAAACCAAGCTGCAACAGCGACATTATTACGAGACCACAGCGCAATTCAATCGACGTTAAAATAAAGCTTGAAATCATTGCTATAGTATCATAAGAGTCGCCGCACTAAGTCAGCCACGATGGCGCCAGGAGTGAGTGAATCACTGCTTCCCTTGTGCAACCATCGACTAATTAGTATAGACGCGACGCGCCAACAGATCAGGATATGCCGAGCACGATGACTTCGAAGGTACGAAATACCGATCGCACGCTACGACGCGTACTAATTAACCCAAGGTCTTCCCGTGCGACAATGGCGACAAGAATGGATAAAGGTTGCGCCGCCGCAACAGCAGGAACAGACTCAGCAGAATGATATCTGGTCGATCGATTTACCTCACGGCATGCCAAAAGACTCGCATCTCCTGCCAGCCCACAGTCAGGAACTTCTGGCGGCTGCGCGATCCGGAAGACTATATAAACGACCCGCGCCAGCTGAGGAGGAAGAGGCCGATGCTGACGCAGCTCCTGAGAAGCCAGAGAAGAAGGAAGATGATGCAAGCGCTCGAGGTTTCAGCGTGAAAGTATGGAAGCAGTTGCCTCGTAATATCGACACACCTGGTACATCACATCTCGCGAAACGACAGAAGAACACCGTGACGATCGCCAGTCGGACGGTGGAAGAGAAGGTTCAAGGACCGACAGTTACAAGGGCGACTGTCAGGAGAATCGATGCCGCCGGAAACCCATATACAGAAGAGGTTACGCTATCTGATGGTCAACAAGTCCAGGGTGAAATTGTTTCGACACGAATTGAACAAGCACCCGTTGCTGGCTCTGAACCACTTGCTACGACTCCCGTTCCCAAACGAAGGCCGCCACCGCCAAAGAGAAAGGCCAAGGCTGGTCCTGGCCGAGGAAAGAAGAAGATCAAGAACCCTCTTCCTGAGGTTGGTGCTCCGGCGGCGGCGCCTGTCGCTGGAGCAGATGGCGTTGTGCCCGCTGTTCCAATTAAACCCGAGAACCCTACAGAAGCTGTACGTTGTAGGCTGTGGATGTGCTGTTCTCCATCGCTAATTTTTAATAGGCCATCAAACAGGAACGTGAAGACTCTGCCAATCAGGATAGTCCAATGCCGGATGCAGATGACGACGATGACGATGAAGATGGGGATGATGACGATGGCGACGAGGGTGAAGAGGGAGAGGCAACACCAGCTGCGGAGAGTCAAGCAAATGGTGAAAACAACAAGTCACAAGATCACGAGATGACAGACGCGACCCCCACAACAGCCACTGAAGCAGCGCCCGTTCCACCCCCTGCGCCAGAACCGGCACCGGCGTCTCTCCCAGCTCCTATTGAAAAAGAGGAGCCTGATACTTTCATGCAAACCGACTCATCTGCGCCTGTGCCTGTGCCACCGAACCCTATGAGTCTGGCACCCCCAACAACCCTTACACCTGGTGGATCTAGACAGGAAGGCAGCCCCCTTAAGAACGTGGTTATGCCTTCGCCTACCAAGGAGGTGGATCAGGAGCAATTGTTGAAGGCGGCGATAGATGCGCCTTCTGCGGGAGATGAAAAGCCCGCGGAGCCTGAACTGACTGAGGAGAACCTTGCCCGAGCATCGCTAGAGCCACCCGCCAAGGATGATGAACCCCATGGTTCAGCAGAGGAACAGCTCCTGAAGGCAGCTATAGATGCTCCCTTTGGGCCAGGACCACAACTGGCAGCCGCACCTGCTGTCGAACCTGCGGACTCGACCATAGCCGAGCCTCCGTCTACCATTGTCGGAGAGGCTCCTGAGGTTGCGGCTGATCGTGATGTTCCAATGTTGGAGCCGACCGACAGCGAGACGCTATTACCTCCTCCACCTGAAGAGGTTGGCAACATTGCCACCACGCCTCCCGGACGCTCTGGGGAGCCTGGTGCTTCAGGGCCCGGCAGTGAAGTCAAGCCTTCAACAGATATCCAGGCTGGCGAGGAGGCAATTTCGCAGCGACCACCTCTGATAACAACTGAAACTGGTTTGACAGAGGATAGCATCAAGCCCGATGATTCAGCCTCTATCACTGCTCCTATCTCTGATATCACAGATGTCCCAGCAGTGGCTCCATCAGTTATTGATCCCCCGCCTGAGCCGCCCGCTGAAACCACTGTGCAAGATTCCACTATGGAAGAGGCCCCTCAAGAACCCGCCACAGAGGAGATCAAGGAGCCTACACCACCTCAACCCGAGATCAAGGAAGAGTCAGCTCCTCCTGCAGCTGAAGAAGTTCTTCGCGAGGAATCGCCTAATTTGCTTACTAGCTTGATGAACAAACTTGATGAGCAGCATGCAGAGATAGAGAGTATGAAGCAAAAAGCATCAGCGTCAGCTGAACCTGTACCTGAGTCGGTACCGGAGCCTGTTGCCGAGGCGCCTGCAGAGGTTCCCGCAGAGGCTGTCATCGAGCCAGCTGCTGAACCCGTCTCTGAGCACATGGCCGAGCTAATCGCTGAGCCTACTGCTGAATCTGCCCCCGAAACCGCTGCGGACCCTATCACCGAGGCTGCTCCTGAATCTACTACTGAGCATCCTGCGGAAACACTGGCAGACCCCGTTACAGAACCAGTCACAGAGCCGGCGGCTGATGTTCCTCCTGAATCAGCATTAATACCCGAGGCACCAGCTGAACCAGCTGATGAACCCATGGTTACCGATGAAGTTAAGACTGAAGAGGTGAAGACAGAGGAGCCTACTGTTGAGCCTCCCATTGTTGAGACTCCTGCTATCGATGCCCCGGCAGTTCCTGAACCCTCAGTTGCGGAAGGACATCAAACACAACAAGAGCCAATGCAAGACTAGAATGGCCTGCATGGGTAGTGATAGGGTGGTTGAAAGGGATCAAAGAGGTGTTAGAAGAGTCGATGGCCGTATAACTGATGAAACAGAAAGAGTCGGAGATTGTATAACAGTTAGGGTAGATAGTTATAATGAATTCACGGACAACAGGCAATAAAGTATATGGTTCACATATACATATCAGTAGAGTTTTTCTTATGGGTCGATCTCCCATTGTTCCCACTCCAGTTCTTAAACTAATCCGGGTTGCGCCTCTCCCGCCGAAGTACTACTGTTACTGCGAACTTCCACAGCCTTCATCTTCGTTTGCTGAGGCATCGCATAGCGACCGTGCATACGAAACCCTCGCGCATGTGCATTGCTCAGTCCCAAAAGTGCAGCGCTGGTAAGTAGTAGTCCAATGAGCACAATCGCTCCAGCCTGTGTCATGTTTCCTCCCAGTGCAGCAGACATGTATACCATCAACTTAGCCGCTGCCTCAAGATAACCCTCCAGACTCGACTGTGTACGTAGCCAAGCATGAGTAACAAGAGCTTGTAAGTCTGCATCTGGACCGCGTAGACGCACGCTGTGTCCTCCGCCAAGATCGACGGTGTATTCAGTCATGGTTAGACTTTCGGGTGATGGTTCTGAGTGCGTCATGCGTTGCTTTATGGCCCAGATGTTGAGGATGCGAGAGCTGACGAGAGTAAGGAGAATTGCGAGGCCCCACCAGTCTTCAAAGATTACCATGAAGGCTATGGAAGTTGATGTTATAAGGGGACTGATTAGGTAAAGGAGGTGACTGAGCCAGTCGACATCGGACAGTGATGCCCAGTCTTCGTGATCCTCATCGTCGTCTTCTTCATCTGATATCCTGTGTTTTCTAATGACCTTGCCCACGATTTTGACTACATCCCAAGGGGTGTCTAGTCCAACATCAAGAGTGATGATGTTCTCGGCGCCATCTTTGACAAGACTCTTGAGATAACTCGCAGTCATGGTATTCTTCACGGCATATTGTATCTGGCCGAGGGTCTGAGAAGATAGTGCTATTAAGCCGATTGGAGCTTCACGTTCCAGGTCATCGCATGCTTGTTGGTAATGCAAACCCGGGGCGAGGACTAGAGAATCGATCCATGAGGCACCGCCTGTGAGAGCAGTACGACGGGAGATGGTACGAAGGTCGGCGAGGACGAGAAGACCGCTGGCTGATAAGGTTATGTTGGGTAGAGGAGTGGTAGACCATGACGGAATTAGGGATCGAGGCTGGACCATGTAAGTGGTAGTTATGGGCACTAGATGTAAGACAAACCTCCATGTTATACACCATATCTTGTTTCTTGATCTCCAAGAGCAATATATCGAGTCCAATATTGATAATTTATTTCCGTAAATCTCCCTCCATCTTCGGGTCTTGATATCTATATACCATGCGAGGCCAATGCTACGCACGCGGATATATCGATGATGGCATCTCTGTGCGTATATCCACATGACAACTACATGAGAACGTAGCGAAAGACATCACTATGGTTTGAAACAAAGAAACTGCCGAGACAGTCTCTATGGGCTTGTTTTTTGGTCTGAAGGTTGGAAATAGTAGTAGTGGTAGAGTGTGGTTTTGAGACATGAGGTTGCGTGAGTGGCACGGGATCTACACACGCGCGGAGGGTCTCATGATATAGGTTCGCGTGCAAGCTACCAAGACTATTTGACTCAATAATGATGAGATTTAAGATTTAAAACCTCGAGATGAATTCTTCTATAGCTTTGATATGATCATAAGATGATTAGATATGTACGATTCATTTCTGGGGCTTGCTGTGAAGGTACTCGGTTGCCCAGCGGTTTTCAGAATCCAGCTTCACAGCCATAGCTTGGCCTTTACACAACAACTGGGATTACTAAAAAGTCACGATTCGATATCCACTACTCTAAGAGTAATAGTAATAGTAAATATAAAATCCAGAAACAAATAAATTTATCGCTTTTCGTAGTTTTACATCATCAGGTATGATCGACATTGGTTGCCTACCCTAAGCTTTTGGATGACTAATCATTGCGCAACGAACAGATAAGCTAGCCGTCATGATGCAAGCAGCTCCTGTCTGAAGCTCCCAAGCGTGAAGCCGCACAACAACCTCAACAACCATCATGCGGCTCTCACTCCAACCATTGCTCCTCCTGGGGCTCTCGGCCCTCGGCGCCGCAGTCTTCCAGGACGAGGTCGGCGAGATCGATTTCCACCACGCGCTCCTCGGCGTCCCCCAAGTCGAAACCACCTTCTTCCATCGCCCACGCAAGCAAGATAAGGCGAGCCTCCTTTACACTCTCAGCGACGTCGGTCTCATCGGCGCCGTCAACCCCAGCAACGGCCAGGTTGTCTGGCGTCAGCAAATCGCGGATGATATCACCAATGGCGGTGGTTTCCTGCGCGCTGCTGAGGGTGAGCATTGGGTTGCTGCGGCGTATGGATCGCGGGTTCAGGCGTGGGATGCGCTGACAGGGCGAAATGTGTGGCATAATGAGTTCAAGGGCGAGGTCAAGGATCTTGAGGTTCTGGAGCTCACTGAGAGCTCGAGAAAGGATGTTTTGGTTCTGTATGACGAGGATGGCACTACGGTTCTACGACGTATACACGGTACTGTGGGAAATGTCATCTGGGAGTTCCGCGAGGTCGCCAAGAACATCCCTCTTCAGGTCTCAACCGACATCTCCAAGATCTATGTTATCAGCCTTCACGGATCGCCTGCTTCTTACAGCCTCAAGGTTACTGCGCTCGACACCGTTACAGGAGGACGATTGGACGACTTTGCCATTGGCACTAAGGGTGACGTTCATGGACCCAAAGACGTCATGTTCGTTGGAGGAAACTCTGCCGCCCCTATTCTCGCATGGGCCGACAGCACCCTCACCAAGCTCAAGGTCAATGTCTTGGGAAGCAAGACAACTCAGGAGCTCAAGCTACCTTCCGATGCTGTCGCTGTCACCATTCACGCGCCTCACCTCCTTCAATCGCAGCCTCATTTTCTCGTTCACACCCGAACCAAGACCGGAAACAAGGCCGAGGTTTACCATACAGACTTGAAGAGCAACCAGGTCACCAAGGCCTATGAACTTCCTCACCTTTCTGGCCCTGGTGCTTTTTCTACCAGCTCTGACGGAGCCAACGTTTACTTCGCTCGCGTCACTGAGGATGAGACTCTTGTTGTCTCATCTGAGTCTCACGCTGTTCTGGCTCGATGGCCCTTCAAGCCCGCTGGTGATATCGAGGCCGTTCACGCTGTTGCCGAGGTCCTCAAGAAGCCTGGTACCGAGGGCTTTGCTATCCGAGTTGCTGCCGTCACCAAGTCAGATGACTGGGTTCTTGTCCGTAACGGCGAGATTGACTGGAAGCGACCCGAAGGTCTGACTGGCGCTGTTGCTGCTGTCTGGGCTGACATTCCTGGTACTGAGAACCTCGCCAAGGTTCTTGAGGAGGAGGCTCACACCAACCCTCTCTCAGCCTACATTCACCGTGTTACACGACATATCGACGACCTTCAATACCTTCCTGACTACCTCGCATCTCTCCCTCAACGAATCATCACTAGCATCTTCGGTGGTGAGCCCGCTGCTAAGAAGGAGGGCCTGCACCGCGATACTTTCGGCTTCAACAAGCTTATTGTGCTTGCAACTCGCCGTGGTCGTGTGTATGGTCTTAGCACTGAGCACAAGGGTCAAGTCATCTGGTCCAAGTCTGTCCTTCCCCAACTTCCTGGCGAGTCTCTTGAGATCAAGGGTATCTATGCCAAGGATGAGGGTGTGGTCACTCTGCGTGGCGCCAAGGGCGAGTACGTTGCTATCAAGAGCGACACTGGCGATGTTGTCGAGGTGATGCCTGCCGGTTCGCTTCCCCGCGTTTCCAGCACTGTCGTTGTCGATAGCCCTGCTGGCAAGTGGTTACTTCCTGTTGGTGTCAACGGAGAGATTGGACCTGTCCCCGCCGGTTTCACTCCCAGCGAGACCGTTGTTGTCCGTGGTGAGGGAGAGACTCTTAAGGGTGTCAAGTTTGTTGAGGAGAACAACAAGGTCACTGAGCAAGAGGTCTGGCAGCTTCAGCTCTTCCGTGGTCAGAAGATCGTGGAGATTGCTAAGCATGCTCCTCACGACCCTGTCGCCTCTATTGGCCGTGTCCTGGCTGATCGCCGTGTCAGCTACAAGTACCTCAACCCCAACACAATCGTTGTGGCTGCTATTGACGAGGCAAAGTCCTCTCTTTCTGTTCAGCTGATCGACACTGTCTCGGGTCAGGTTCTGGCTGCCCAGTCCTATGCTGGTGTTGATGCTACCAAGCCTATCTCTTGTGCTATGGCTGAGAATTGGTACACCTGCACTTTCTTTGGCCGATACACCCTTGATGATGGCACCAAGCGATCTATTCAAGGCTACCAGATTGTCATTGTTGACCTCTACGAGTCTTCTTCTCCCAACGACCGCGGCCCTCTTGACGACGCTGTCAACTTTTCGTCTCTCAAGCCTGTTGACACACCAACAGGACCTGCTCTGCCTTGGGTCGAGGAGCAAGCTTATGTTTTGTCTCAGCCACTCGACAAGCTGTCGGTTACACAAACGCGACAAGGCATTTCAAACCGACAGGTTCTTGGCTACATGCCTGAAACCCACTCCATCGCTGGTCTGGTTCGCCAGGTCCTGGACGCCCGACGCCCGGTCGGCCGTGACTCAACTCCAGCTGAGAAGGAAGCTGAGGGTCTCATCCAATACACTCCCAGCATCGAGATTGACCCTCGGTCAGTCATCTCTCATCAGCGAAACGTGGTGGGTGTCAAGGACATTCTCACAGCACCAGTCATTGTGGAGAGCACAAGTCTGGTTGTTGCTTACGGCGTGGATGTCTTTGGAACACGCGTCGCACCCAGTGGTGTATTCGATATTCTTGGAAACGGCTTCAACAAGGTGACACTTGTTTTGACCGTTGTATCGCTGCTGGGCGGCGTACTCTTCCTCTCACCGATGGTAAGCAAACCCACTTTCGCACTCGCATTCATGATGACATCTGGCTAACAAAAGTTCTAGGTAAGGAGGAAACAGATCAACAGGACTTGGGAGGGCTGAAAGGGATGAAAAAAGAGAGGGCATGTCATTATCTGGAGCTAATTACTAGACCCGGCCGAAGGCCAGGCCAATGGGAGGAGAATATTTGGTTATGAGCTGTAAATGGAAACAAAGTATCTACCGATCCACGTCATGCCGGTGATTTTTAACGATTGTTTCCGTTGACAGATGGAGGTGGCTTGCCTCAAGATGTCAGCCTCACAATGTAACGATCCAAATGAGATGCCACAACTCGAGAAGCCACGTGCTGTATCTGTCAGCTTAAACGGCCGAGATCGGGATCTCCGTAGGTCCCGGTAGGCGGAGCATCGCCGGGCTTGGCGCCACGGCGTCGTCGGGACTTGCAAGACAGAGACGCGGGAGCCGACAGGCCGTGGCATCCAATATATCGTGAAAGCCGGTGGTTTGCATTGATTGGTGAACAGTAAGCACATGGATTCCCCTGCTTTGTTCCTCGTATCACTGCCTGCATCTAGACATGTACTTGCTCTGCATGTACTTCGTATAACATGATTATTCTCACTCAAGTTCTAGGACTTTGAGCTGACGGTGGGGAGATACTAACTATGGGAAAAAGTATTTTGCATACACGGGTTACTCAATGCACTTTTGACACCTCGCGAATCATGTATTTCTCAGAAAATCACGAGGCTGAATGTGCGACCACATCAACGAGCATCTATTCTTGTTTTTCCAATCACGAACGTAATTAAATCCTCCGGACCCTCGGGAAACACGAGAAAGAGGCTTTTGGGGACGAATAAGCTGTGAGTGCGTTCGGCGTTTGCTTTTTGCGGGGTAATCTGATGGAGGTTGCTTCGGGATTTATTTTTAGGAGGAGTGATTCTGGTTGGATGAGCGCTGGATATTGACTCTTTTGGTGGTGTATTATGTCAGTTGATGATGGTTCATTGTGAGGTTATTGTAGTATCATATCATGAACACTCATTACATGGTATCACATCATACACTTGATGATATACAGACGTAGACTTGATGTTAGTTCTAACACTGTATCATCATGAAAATACCTGTAACACCACATCTGTAGGGCTGGTAGTTCAGATCGTGTGACTATCTAGTGATGTTGTGTAAGTGGCTTGCCCAGAAGCGAGTCCGATATGCCACTCCCGGCCTAGCTCCCTTGACGAGTTAACGTTGCCATTTGACAGAACCTAGTACGAACGAGCTAGAATAATGGAA